TCTAAACACATGTGAAAGATACAACATATCATAAATAGTCATTAAGCTCAAAATTCCATTACACCACAATATTAGAGCATATGCTTCTTGCATTCAAAAGTATGGAACATCAAAGAACAAGCATGAATTGTTTCCCCAACTAACACTACACTACTTAAAAGAGAAGCACAATCCATCAAGGAATAAGTATGAACCATCTAGAGACATAACAAGAGCATTACATTAAGAACTTCATATTTTGACAATCTCAAGATTAAAGGCATTAATACACATAGACATGCATCAATAACATTAAATCTAGAGGTGAGCATCTACTCTAGCATACATAGACATATAGATAGAGAAAATGATCAATTAGAATCATTAATCCATAGAACTCAATGAATAATCAAGATCTTCATAAGTTCAAGAGTCAAAATATGCATTACAACACAAATCCCTCAAAATTACACAAGATTAGGTAAAGAAAGCATGTTTGGGGCTAACTCTAGCCCCAAAAGGATGTCTAGCCACTCATGATGATGAAGCTCCAACCCTCAAGGTCTAAATCCATGGTGAAAATCTGCTCCTTGATGATGAAGGTCTCCTCCAAAGGTTGCTCTAGCTTCCTCCCTTTTTCCTCTCCAAGAATAGCCTCCAAGATGATTTTCAATGTGTGACAAGAGACTCCCTCAAAAAGTGTATCATATTCCTTATATAGGTAGGTCAAATACACCCCATGATGAGCTATGGTCGTGCAAGGCATATTCTCCAATCATTGGATAAAGGACGGAATAAATGAGTTGGACTTTAACTTTTTCTCACTGGAGGAAGTTCGATCGATCGAACCTTAACTTGGATCGATCGAAAATGGGTTCGATCGATCGAACTGCATCTTGGATCGATCGAAAATGGGTTCGATCGATCGAACTGCATCTTGGATCGATCGAAGTGGTCTGACTCCTCCGGATAATGACAAGGCTGGGATATTTTCAAGATATTTATGGAGAAAAAGACAAAAGTGGTTGGTAGGCGTATAGCTGTGGATAAGATCAATCATTTGAATAGGACAAAATAGGGTTCAATCGATCGAAGGTGATGTTCGATCGATCGAACTTGGAATTTCAGCAAAGGCCAAGGTTGGATCTATCGAGAAGTACTGTGATCGATCATAGATGTTCGATCGATCGAACTTTTCAGCTGCACAACTTGATTCCTTTTTGCTCCTTTCTTTCTCCACTTTGCTCCCTCCTTTGGTTTATCTCAGGATTGCTTCAATTAAGCTCTTATTTGGCTGAGTTAGCTCAATTTTGGGATTAGTGCCTGAAAATATAAATAACACGTAATAAGTCTAAAACGGCAAAGTAAGATAGATAAAGGTACTAGAATTCTTAAGCTTAACGGGTTTAAATGCGCACTTTTCAGTGCTCATCACTTGTCATTCTTGGATTATTCAACAGGAAAGGTACACTTGGCAGTTGATCCAAAAATATAGGAATTATGGCAACATGATCCAAAGAGGCATGATTCTGACCCGCTCTAAAGATGGAGGCCCAACAATGTACTACCTGGATGACCTAGGGCTATAAAAGGAGGCAATGACAAAAAGAAGCGGGTAAGAACTGACGGCAGCTCATTCCCTACCATTGCTCAAGATTCTCTTTCTGGACTGGTTTTCTCTCCCTTCTTCCTACTCTTCTGCATTCTTCATATTGCTGAGTGGTATATTCCCAGACCTTCTTGACTCTTCCAGGACCCACGTAGAAACAGATATCTACAATATATTCATCTTCATTTCACATAAACAGCTTCAATACTTCAATTAAACACATCCAAGTATAAACTTCTAGTGAGTACACTCACCTTGGCTATTTCTCAAATTATTTACTTATCACTTGGAAATGTTGAAGTTGTCAACTCCTTCTCATTGCTTATACAACATTATAATCATGTCATATATATTTCCAAAGAGAGTTGAACAATAATTATCAACTTCATAACAAATCTTAATTCCATACACAATTATAGTGGAAATTCTAACAAGAATAATGATAGTAACTTCAGCTCTACAATTGCATCAACTAACAATTATTTAAACTTAGATACTATAGTACTTGAATCAAGTAAAATAAATAATATAGATATAACCCAATTGCTCATTGGAACACCAGGCTACAAACTTTCAACAAAAAAATTTATTCTTTACTTTTAGTACTAGCTACCAGAAATTCCATAGAGAAATTTTCAGTTCCTTCCTTCTCTCCTTTCTATCTCTTTCCTTCTCACCTTCTCCTCACCCACTACTTCCCATGAATTTCATCTTTTAGTTAATTTTTGTGGGTTCAAAATAGCAACCACAGAATACTATAATTTTGTTTTCTCCTACCATAAATCTTTTCACAAAAAGCTTCCAGGACCAATTTCTCAATCTCATCCTTTACCATAATTGAATTTATCTAATAAAGATATCAATATACAAATCTAATATATTTACACATACCCAGCAAGATTTGTTTAATCTAAAAGAAATTTACAACCCAATTAAGAAAGAACTAACGAATAAATAGAATTTATTCAAGAACAGATTATTATATCAACAACAAGGGCTTCAAATTATAAATCTAAAGGATGAAGATGTAAAAGACTTATTTATATACCTATACTCCTCAGTCCTTGCCTACAGCTTTTGCGGCAACCCTTCCTTTTTTTTTTCTTCTCTCTATTTTCTTCTTCTATGGCCGGAACCCCTTCTATATTTTTTTTATTTTTCTTTTTCCTTTTCAATTTCAGTGTATATCTTATTTAAAACTCTTCATTTACGTATGTGCAGGTGTATTGTGTGTGTGCTGGCAGCTAATTTCTCTCTATAAAACTTGAAACATCACTTCCTTTATAATATAATAATATACACATATACTAGTCAAACCACAAAACTTATTTCAAACCTTTAATTCAACTTAATAGAATACATAATATATATATATAGGAACTTCAAGCACGCAAGGAGAAGTGTGGAAACTTCCACATCTAGCATCATTTGATAATATATACAGTGTATATTTATATATATAATTTTATCACCTCATGGGCACACTCATTTACACTTAAATCAGCAAACACACACACACACACCACCTGGTATCAAACACACCCACACACAGCTTCGGGACATACCCATTTCATGGTATCCCACCAACACAAATGTATCACTCCTTCCACTTCTATCAGTTATATTATTAATATTATTTCCAATTGGACTGTAAGTAATAAGCTTGATAAAAAAAATAAAAAAATAAAATTTACAAAATAAACTACTCCATATAATATTCATATATATTCATGTCAATTAAAATTAAATTATGCTAACCAAATTAATTTTGTATTGAGGTATGACATGCTCATTCCCACGATTGGGGGATATTTCGTACCAAAAAATGAATGTTCATTCCCACGATTTTTGGCGCCTAGAAGCTCTGGTTCATTCTCTTTTTTTTTTTTTCTTTTTTTTTCCTGAAATATATATTACAAATTTCCTCTATTTTCTGAATTTTAAACTGCAAAATCCATTACAGAAGAATTTGCAGTCTAATTCAAAATCGGACCAATGGAATCTCTTGTCTTGAAAGTGGGATTCAGGTTAAGAGAGATATAGAGACCATTGTCGGCTTGTTTAAGATAGGAGGAATAAACAAGAGAAGAAAGAGAAAGACATTGACGTCGGTCTTGTTTAAGATAGAGTTGTTTAAGATATAAATGAAGAGAAGAGAGATAGAGAGCAATTTTTTTCAGAAAAGTTGAGAGTTAAGAATATGATAAATTTTTCTTATCTCAAAATGACGTAATTTTCAAACTTTGGTAAATTTTTCTCGATCTAAAAAGTGTACAGTTTTCAAATTTTCTTTAAATTAGTAGACGTTATTTAACACAAGCAGTAAATATATGATAAAAGTTACGTGTCCATCCATAAAGAATTCAACTTGGATAACTTATAGATTATCCAAGTCCATTAATTACGGTATTACTTAAAATTGTTTTATTTTATTGTGTATAACCATTAAAAGTTCAAACAGATCAGAAAACATAAGGTTATAATCTTTCTAATAGTATTTATAATATAATTTTTTCTTAAAATATATGATGAATTTAATCTGAATTTTTTTCAAAAAGATATGCATAACTAAGAACCCAAACCAATCTTCTCATTGACAACACCCTTTCAACCCTTCAACTAAATAAAAATGAATAGAATATGTTTTCCCTCGTTTTTGCACCCCCTTTCACATTTTAACTTCCCATTACTAACTTCCCATTAAAAGAGTTTCTAAAAGGACAAGATAATAAAGGTTGAATTTTAACTTGATAGAAACCAATCAAACGTAGGAAAAAGTATTAAATTTGAATAAAAAATCTTTTGAATTTGTATCAAATTATACGAAAACCCTTTTGAATTTGTATCAAAGTATACTAAAACTCATCTTCAAACGAAATTTTGAAGTCCTTACTTTCGCTTTAAAAATTCGAACAAAATCCTATGTGGGGCCAATCATATAATATTCCTTTAAATTTTAATATTCCTTTAAATTTTAATTTGTTTGAAGTGTTAATAGTACGATTGTTCTAGAAGGTATCCGTGGACCATCATTACCCTCAATGGGGTTCAGTTTCGAGGAAATTTCTTAACACCCAAATGCAAGGAATTTTTCATTGGAATCCGAATCTCTTCAATCGTCCAACCGTTATTGACCTGCCAATCACCAAAGGAGAATAATCAATTAGTCAAGTGAACCATTCTTACCAAAACCAATTTAATAATATAATAATAATAAACAAAGCTTACATAAACTTCACACGTGTCCCCAAAAAGGCAACCGAGTTAAAAAAAGTCACGTAAACGGCGTTAACGGAACCCTAACGGCAAAATTTGTCCTGCATCCAAACAGGATGCTGAGGAGGATGGGAATGGGCAAACAACACGGCGCTGGACATACTTGTCCATGTCTCCGAACAAGACTCGCACAAAAACAGAGGAAGCAATTGATTTTGAGTAATGAAATGTTTGGTTTCAGATCACAAGCAACTCTCAGTCGAATCAAAGAGCTACCTCAAACAACAAACAATTCACAATCCAATCCAATCATTTCTCAGAACTCTCAATTTTTTTTTTTTTTAAGTAATAAATTCAATCATGTATTCATATACGTATGTGTTCAGTATCATAGCTTCAAAACTAGGGTTTCTTTCAAGTTATTGACAACGATTTTAACGAGGAACAAGGAACCTAGTACTCTCTCTTTCATAGAGAGGATAGCACCGGCGTTGCTGAACGCCGACGGGGAATCCAACGAATGGAGATGAATTCCGGCAACCGTATCGATACGCTGGTTTCGCCGCCGCCTGTGGAGGCGCTGAACAGAATCCGGCAACTGCGTACGGCGCCGATTTGGACGGCCAGGAACTGAAATTGACGCTGGAAACAGCGGACGGTGGAGGAGAGATTTTTTTGAGGGATTTGAGCGGGGAGAGAACAACTCTGATCTTCAAATCCTGATCCGTCCGATCGTATTCTTCGATCACGCTAGCTAAATCCTCCTCACTTGTGATCGAAACCAGCACGTCGAGGTCTTCTTTCGGCAATTTACACTTCAAACACATCGACGATCCACACAACTCTCCGAATTTCACCATCAGCTCTGTATCAATTCAAAGAATCCACTTCAGTTCTCCAAATATTTTCAAATATATATATATATATATATATATATATATATAATTAATTAATTAATTAATTAATTAAGAAAAAAATAAATGAACTGACCTGCGAATGTGATTGAACGATCAACGGCGAGGACTCTGGTGTAGCCGCCGACATATCGCAGCTCGCCGTCGGTCCGGCGAGGGAGAATCTGACCGCCGTAGCTATAGAGGAATTTGATTGTACTTTTCGTATCGTTGTTTGAATGGAAGGTTCTAGTCATGGTGTTCGCGAGGAAGAAGAGTGTGAAATGTAGAGAAAGAAAGAGGGAAAAAAGAGAGGAGAGAGAGAAGATGCTTGGAGTTTGATGGTCGCACCTTCAAACATATGGCAGCGTGGGCGTTGAATATATATAGAAATATTTAGAGAGAGAATTTTCTAGAGAGAGAGTACTAGGGATTTGTAAATTGAAAGGAAGGAACCGCCGAATACTGTGTTTTCTTAATAGGTACTCATAAGTTATTCGGATATTCTCTGGGTGAAATTTATGCGGCCCATTCAAGTTGCGATGAGTGGCAGATGAGCCCCACTGGAGTGGACGCGTGGCTGGGCGGGTCAGAACCGGCCCAATATGCGTTAGACATGGCAGGTATAGCGCGTTCTGGGGATCGACCCAATCCATACTTCTCCCAACTGCCTTGAAACGGCTCTCTTTTGTTTTTTACTCTACTTGTTGGGCCCACACCTGCTTTTTCTGTTTTCTTTTCGAAGTTGTTGGGCCCACACCTAGCAAGACTCCATTGTTGATTCTATCTTTTCGTTTTTGTTAAAATAATTTTGTTATTTATTTATTTTTCCCCTTTTATTCATAAATGAGCAAAATGGTGTTATTCTGTTTTTAAAACTTAATATTATTTTTATTACTAATTTTAAAAAAAAATTAAAATTGTATTTGATCCTTCCTTTTCAAAAACATAATAAAGAAATTACTCGAAATAAATATATTAATATAATACTCTTATAGTATTCTTCGTAAATGCATTTTTAACACTGTTATAACACTTTTTATCAGAGTTACATAAGAAATAATAATAATAATAATAGTAGTACACTAATTTTTTCTTTTATTTGAAAATTTTGTAATATCAGGGCTTTGCTGATGACTATGTGTTGTTACTATTTTATCCCTACATATTGGATGTAATTAACACAATTCATAAGGATAAAATTGGTAATTTAAAATTTCAAATAATTGACTGAGAAAATCTTATTCATAGTGTTGACATTTGAAGCGGAGAGAATTTGTTAGACAAGTATGTCTAAGGTGTGACAAATTGAGACTCTTGATTTATGAAATTTTAGTTAGCTTATTTTTTTACCTCCCCCTTAAATAAATAAATAATCACTATTTAGAGTATTTAGATTGGCACTTGAAAATGAAGATCAAAGATAGAAATAAATCTCAAAACTGAACTTTTAACCTAGCTTGTACAGGTACTTTTAATTCTTTTTATAAAAAAAACAATTTCCCTTTCTTATAATTAGTCAACCACTTATGCTAATAATATATGTCGGCATTAATCAGTTTTGCTAGGTTAGGTTAAGTAGGCATGTGATGTTTAGAAAAGAGGCTATAAAGAGCATATCAATTAATAGAATTAGAAACATCAACTGTAAAAAGTAATGAAAAAATGATGAGATTAGCTACTTTGTTAGGCACCAAATGCTTAACTAGAAATCAAAATCCATTTAAAGCAAAAGATAGTTGGCCCTGTAAGTATAATTAATAGTACCAATCATCTTCTCCATTAGTTGATTTCTTTGCCAAAAAAATACGTGACGTTTAATTAAGCTCTGTTTAGTTCGCGATTTATTTTTGACTTTTTATTTTAACTCGAAACAAAATAAGTGTTCCATTATAGAATGTTTTGAATAGTAATCGATATTTGGTAACATTCATTTATTGCAAAATTTCTGGAAGCAAAAACATGAAAGCCATGTTTTAAAATGTCATTTAAGAATTTTTTATTTTTTTATTGTTCATCACTACAATATCCGTTGTTACAGTACTGAAACACGTAAAAATATTCAATTAGTGTTTCGGCCACTATTCACGAAACGTTTCGACACGGTGTAAAATAAAACATATTTTACCAAATATTTTTTTTTACTGCTACAGTACCCAACAAAAATAAAATACTTATCAAATAGACCTTTAGATTGACATTATTACGATCCGGAGATGATTAAATTAAATCAAAACTCGCATATTTTGTGTGGTGACAGATTGTCGCCCCAACTTTGTTTTAAAGCCACATTGTTGGATTGGACCATGATCGATACTTTCCCTATTTGTTCCAATAGAGCCAACAGTGAACATGGTTTGGTCATTAAAGACTCCTCCCCAAATTGATCCAAGAGTTGCTTCCAAATTGACTGGTCATCCATGAGTAGGACACTAGGGTCTGATGTCCATTACCATGATGTTTCGGTGAAAGGGATGGAATGCTTTGACCACCCACCCCTTTTGAATGGCCCTTGAAGCAAACTATAGCTGCAACCCTTTGCTTCTTACCACTCACGCCACACATACTCCACCATAAGTTGTGTTGATCAAAATTATTGGTCCATTCAGATCTTCCAATTTAACCGGGACAAGTGATATTAAAATAATTCAATTGAGATAATTTCAGAGAAAAAAAATTATAATAATTCAACTTAGACAAAGCGAGTGTGAGTGTGTGTGTGTAACTTAAATGTATTAGTCTGATGGCAAAAACTCTCAACTCACTATTTAGAGATTAGCAGTTTTAATCACTCTCGTCCTGTTTAGTTAGATGGAAATTGGTAGAAAGAAAGGAAATGAGTTTTTTTTTTTTTTTTTTTAAAGAATTTATAAGTTTGGTTAGTAAGAAAAAGAAATATTTGAGGAAAAATTATTTTTCATACATTAACTCTTTTGTAAAATTTTCCTCTAAAATACAGTACACTGAAATTTTTTGATTTTATGAAAAAGTTTTATGAACTTACAATAATACCATTTTTATGGTAAGTTTTAAGTTATTAAAATCATAAAGTGCTAATTTCAAATATTTTTCTTGTAAAATTTTCATGCTAAATAAATCCATAATAGATTTTTTTTTTTTTTTTTTTTTTTCCTTCACTTTCTTTCACTTTTACTTTCCACAATCAATTTTCATAAACTATGGGTCTGTTTGGCTGGGCTTCCTATAGCCTCAGAATGGGCTTCTAATCCCAAAAAAATCCTTTGTCAAAAATAAAGAGCGTTTGGTAAAGTTTCTGAAAATGGACTTTTAAAAAACCTCAGTGGTTTAGAAGCTCGATTAACCAAAGCCAATAAAACATGCTTCTTAATCGACTTCCTGCAAGCTACCCACTTTTTTATGTAATAAATATAAAATTTCTATAGTGTCCATTATTTGACCTATTTCCATTTATGAATTTCATTGCAAACTTTTATCTTTCTATTTTTGTATCATTTTCCTCCTTCGTTCTCTACCCAAAAAATAAAAATAAAAATAATACTGAGCAAAATTTCACATAACCTTATTGAAAAAAATATTGTTGAAAAATGATTCAACAAAGGAAGAACAAAAATGGAATATTTTTGCTGCCATTTCTCTCTTTCGTTTTATTTTTCTTTGGTTTTCTTTTTCCATCTCTTTCGACTTCTATCATATAATCAAGGACAAAAAAAAATTCTACCATGTAAATTGGGTTAAATTTGTATACCAGATCTTTACTATAACAATTAATTGTTGCTGCATCATTAGCAATTTCACTCCGTTACTTTAATTATGATTTTTTTTTTCTTCCCTTCTTTATATATTCCAATTCATGGTTTATTAAGGATGTAATTGTTAGGTTAAATTATATTAATAGTTAAAAGTGCTTCAAAAAATTTACCCATCAAACAATTTTTTTTGTTTTAAATTCCTTTCATCAAAATGCATTCTTTAAAGCCGATTCATTAGAAGGAATTTTAGAAACTAAAAGCTACCCCAAACAGGGCCTATATTTTTCGGTAATTGCCTTGTTCTCGTTCACGTGGAATGAAAGGCTACACAGACCAATAGTAGATCAGGCACGGATCTAAAAAATTTTGTGAGGAGAAGCAATAGTGAGATTTTATAAGTATATAATTCAAATAGACAAAAAAAAAATAGTAGAGTTTAATACTAATAATAATAATAATAAATGTCAGTGTATATGAGTTCTAGACTTGACATGGCTATTGTTCATCAAATAAAATATATATATATTTTTTTCAACTAGTTGACTAATCCAATTCCCACTACTCATTCATAGATTCAACATCTACTCATCAAACAATTTTTTTTGTTTTAAATTCCTTTCATCAAAATGCATTCTTTAAAGCCGATTCATTAGAAGGAATTTTAGAAACTAAAAGCTACCCCAAACAAGGCCTATATTTTTCGGTAATTGTCTTGTTCTCGTTCACGTGGAATGAAAGGCTACACAGACCAATAGTAGATCAGGCACGGATCTAAAAAATTTTTTGAGGAGAAGCAATAGTGAGATTTTATAAGTATATAATTCAAATAGGCAAAAAAAAAAATAGTAGAGTTTAATACTAATAATAATAATAATAAATGTCAGTGTATATGAGTTCTAGACTTGACATGGCTATTGTTCATCAAATAAAATATATATATATTTTTTTCAACTAGTTGACTAATCCAATTCCCACTACTCATTCATAGATTCAACATCTACTCACCCAAAGTAATTAACATTTTCCAAATCAAAACGTTGAAAGAGATCATAGAAAAATATTTGGTGAAATGTGAGCGGCCCAAGTATCAACCAAATTGAAAATTTCAAACCCTCTAACCTTGGATTGGAAGGTTGACCTTTCAATGATTGACCAAACTAGCCCCTTTTATTTGGGCTTGAAAACGTTGCTTGAAACAAGTTAAGCTTCAACTTCAAGGCTTCTTTGTACCTGAAATAGTCGCACGTTTTGCTTGAATTTCTAAAATAAAAAAAATTAAAAAAAATAGTCACACGTTCCATTATAAATGAATAAAGAAAGTTGGGCATTAAGTCCATTGGATGATTAAATATTGTATAGTTGAATTTAAAACTGTCTTTATGTCATATTTGTTTACTTCTCGTCTCAGAACTCAATGAAGGTAAAGGTTGTTCAATATGACACCTAATTAATCAGTATAACGTGACTGAAATAGTCTATATATATACATATTATTGTGAAATATAAATACTTTAGAATAAAGGTTTTTCTCCTTAGGAATTTTAAATTTTATGGATTTTCTAAAGAAAAATAATAAAAAATCTCTACGTTTGAAATTGTTTACACATGGGCGTGCGCGTTTAGGAATTTTAAATTTTATGGATTTTCTAAAGAAAAATAATAAAAAATCTCTACGTTTGAAATTGTTTACACATGGGCGCGCGCGC